GAACCCGTGGAGGCACAACGTCACCGGCGAACCAGCCGCCGGGATCGTCAGTGCGTTTGGCGAACAGTTCGCGAACGGACGTGTTCTTCGTGGCCTCTTGGAGAACGCCTCTCGTCCAGGTATAAACACGGCGAGACGCGGAAACCACCTGATCTGACGAGAGGGTCAGAGAGAGACGAGAGAGAATATTCCCGGTGAGCCGCCTCGTAGGGGGGCGGCGTGGCAGCGAGTAGAGGCCGCGTCATGCAAAAGGTCGTCCGCTTCGTCGCACACGGTCTTTCTTCTTCATGGTCGACGATAACGCAGGAGAAGGCCGGCGAGATAGCGCGCCCTCGTCAGAAAACGCTTCCTCCTTAGATCGTCGACGGTACACCCGACGAGATTCGCCTCGAGAAAATCCTCCATCTCGTGTCTAGATACAATGTATATATATATATATGTATATGCAAATGTATAACGGATATATTTCGATTACTCACGATCCATGCACGCGGCGTCGACCTTCTCGGAGGAACGTGCACCGAGACACCAAGGTCGTCCACGATCAATGAACGCCGCTGCGTCTGCCGCCACGTGACAAGGCTCGCGGTGCACTTCCGCACGAGCATTCCGTTCGAATGGCTCGCTCCTCGTCGAAAACCCTTCGAATCGGGAAAGGAAGGTAGAAATTTTTCGAATCTTCGTATGTCGCTTTGTACACGTCGTACACGTGGAACGGTCGACCGATGATTACGACGTATACGCTGTTGTCGTCGCTCGCGGGACCTTCGCTCGTCCGTTATCTTATCTTCGTAAGCGTATTTGGTAAATACACCGGTCGTCCTGTTTCTCGAGAAGCGAGGTTTCGTTCCGGGAACGCTCTCGCTTTGTTTTCATGACGTGTACGTTTCCCGGAAACAAAAGCGTTCGAGGAAATCCTTGTTTTCGTTGCGTGAAGCCGTGTTGTGTGAAGGAAGAGAGAAGGTTATTGGTGAACATTGTTCCAATTTTATCGTCGTAGTAACCGGCCGCATCCGTGGAACATCTATCGCGCTAGGTTAAGTGTTTGGAAAACGGGGATAGGGGAGTCGGGGAGTGAGAATAAAAAAGAGAAGAAGGGACAAAGGAAAGGAAGGGGGGTAGGGAGAGGAAAGGAAGAAAGAGACGCAGTGACGTGCAGTGAGATCTGTGGTAAGGAGACTCTTGGGACTACGAAAGCCCGCTTACGACGTGACATGACGGGGGAAATCGTCCACGGAGAGGGTAAACGAAGAGGCGGAGAGTGAAGAAATTGGAAAGAAACGCGTGGTTGGTTCGGTGGCGGGGAGCTTGGATTTCATCAACGTGGCTGGTGAGTTTCGTATTATTCATTATTAAAACACCTTGTCCTTA